ATGATTTTTTTTAAGTTCGCCGAGTCAAATTTTGAATTTTTCAGGTAGCTGTGTGGGTGCTGGCATTAGGACTCGTTGCCTATGCCGAACCACCCTCACAAAGCTACGGCGCACCCGCGGCGGCGCAACCCGTTTTTCGACAAGCGTCCGCACCTCAGTCGCAGTATGGTGCTCCACAACAGCAGCAACAATACAGTGCTCCTGCCCCACAACAGGCCCCCCAACAATACAGTGCCCCTGCCCCCGCCCCACAATCGAGCTATGGGTCACCAGCCCCCCAACAGCACCATGCTCCAGCCCCTCAACAATACAACGCCCCAGAAGAACAAGCCCCACAAGAAGGAGGTAAGATCCACAAGCACGTTTACGTCCACGTTGCGCCAGACGAGGAGCCTGAATTCCGTGCCCAGCGACCCAAGAAACCAGCACCTGCGCCAGAAAAGCACTACAAAATCTTGTTCATCAAGGCCCCATCCGCTTCTCCCGGAGGCGACGAAGAAATTCAGCTCCCACCTGCACCCGAAACCAAAACCTTGGTTTACGTACTTCTCAAAAAGCCAGAATTTGCTGGGGCATCAACTTCGCCACTCCTGCTCCAACCCAACCCAGCAAACCCGAAGTCTACTTCATCCGTTACAAGGGGGGAAATAAGGACCAGGGAAGTCAAGGGGGGTACAACGCCCCTGCCCCACAAGAAGCTCCACAACAATATAATGCCCCAGCTCCCCAGCAGGCTCCCCAGCAGTACAATGCTCCTGCTCCACAACAATATAATGCTCCAGCCCCACAACAGGCTCCACAACAATACAACGCACCCGCCCCCCAATCCAGCTATGGTTCACCAGCTCCCCAACAATACAGCGCTCCGGCCCCACAACAACAACAACAATACAGCGCTCCAGCTCCCCAACAATACAACGCTCCAGCCCCACAGCAGGCTCCACAACAATACAATGCCCCCACACCTCAGTCCAGCTACGGTTCACCAGCCCCACAACAATACCACGCCCCTGCTCCCCAACAAGCCCCTCAACAATACAACGCACCCGCCCCACAACGTCAGCAACAATCTACGCAGTACGGAGCTCCCGAGTTTGCTCGTCATGCACGACATTCGCAAGGATATTTTGGACACCGCCAGTACCGATATTCAACTCTATAAGCAGCAGTGGAAGGGAGTAGCAGCAGCAATATTCAGTTTCTTTGATGCCATAACATGTAGCACCACCACATTATCTCCCCCCTCTAAACAACTAATTTCTACATACATTTTTGTCCCTGTCCTTCTATTCCAGACCATGAAATGCATTATTTTTATACCTTGTACGATGTAATAACAAGAATAAAGCGGGTCGGATGTAAAATTAAAATTAATTAAGTAAGTAAAAGAAAACTCACAGGAAATGCAACCATCCGAGTCTCTTAAAACTCCCAGTCGCCGTTCTTCTTCCCTCCAAAGTTGGCAGAGGAGGGCGGAGAGGTTGTTGTCATTGTCGGTCACCATGTCCCGCATCGTCTCCCCCATTCTGGGCTTGATGGCATTAGGCAAGCATGACTCGGACAGGCGAAGTCCGTCGCCAAAGACGAAACGCTGGCTGAGGTTCCGTTGTCGCCTGCTCCAGACGAGGAGCTGGTCCATGCAGCGCGGGTACTCGCACAACTCGAGGACGCAGTTCAGAAGGTGCAAGCTCGAGGGTGGGCCTGCTCCAATCTAGATATCGATCATTCAGCATAATTTCAATATGACCAATAAATTGCGTTCCACTTGTCAGTCTCACTTCCAACAAGTCCAGCATTCTCAGGAGGCCTTCGTGACCCAAAAACGTTTCCAGACAACTTGGCGAATCTGCGATGCATTTCAAGACACATTCACCAATTGCAATGTGCAGGCTGCGTAAAATTAAGAAAGCTAATTAATGAATAGCTCATATTAATGGACAACAAGCGTCAAACTGGACTCACACGGGGTCCATGTGCCTCTCGTTGGCCGGATGGTAGAGCAACTGGCGGACAAGTCGGGTCAGGACACGAACGCCATTGCTATTGAGAAAGTCCTCCTTCTCCTGCATCCCAAACTGACCCAGGCCGGCACAGCAGAGAAGCGTGTTCGACAACATGGGCTCCTCGGCGTCAGAACAGTTTTTCGTGGTGAGTCGGATGATCGTGTCCACGAAGACGGCCATGGCTTCTCGCTCGTAGAAAAAGTGGAGCGTCTCCTCCGGTGCAGAGTCTGCCCCGTGGGACAGCAGCGTACGAAAAAGATGGATGAACATGGAGACCAATCGAGGACTGTTGCAGCTCCCAAGCTCGTTGAATACTTTCAGGTATTCCATCATCCTATAGCCCGACAAGAGGTATACATACATTGCAGAGTGGTGGGTTTTCTCTACATGGAAAAATGATATGGTCGCCTTACGCTGGGACCCCTTCTTTGACGAGGAATGCTTTCGGAGACTTTTGCGCAATCGTGATGAGAGCGGACCACACGACGGACTCCAACACCTCGATGGACGTGGCTTTGCTCATGGCGTCGATCAGCTTGGAGGGCTGAAAATTTGAATTTAGCACAATTACTTAAACTCGTTATATATGTTTACGATACTTTGTTTTGATGAATAAAGCACAATACTTACACCCATCAGGACGGCAATGAAGGATGGGACCAGTTGGTACTCCTCAATTATCTAAACAGCCATAAGATTGTAGTGCCATGTGAAAGTGGAGAAAGTTTTGACGTGCGTAATTAATTTCTTAAATAGTACGTGGAGAGATGATCCGGAAGTGAGGACAAGATCCAGCATCCACACGAGAAAGGTGAAAAACTCGACATCTTGGAGGGTAGAGTCCACCAAATATGGAATCTGCAGGCCTCCGCCCACTCCAAAAATGTTGGACGACACGATTGCTCCCATCGCCTGAGAATATCGCCCAAAATTTCTCCTAAGGGATGGGATTTTGGTGGCCAATAGACAAACGAGGAACGCCGTGTCATTCCTCATGTGCAGCTCGTTTTGGGAAGAAAACTCGGTTAGTTGAAGGAACAATCGTGTCAGCAAAACTCTAAGAAATCAGTAAAAACGTTGTGCTTAAATGTCCGGAGTTCCACCAGGTTGCAAAATTTTTTAATAAGAGGACGCACTGGAAAGTTCCTTCGTGAGGACTCGGAGTGTCGACGACCTCAACAACGACGTCTGCTATCTGCCTTCCAAACAGAGAATGAATAAAGTCCACGGTGCGACTGAGAATTCGATTCCCTGGGTCTGGCAAGCACAATTTTAGTAGCAACGGATCCAGAAGAGGTTTCTTCAACAATCGGCTGCCTAAAATTACGTTTTACTCAAGTCAGTCTCTCCTTGTTCAAATAAATCATAAACAATTTAGTTTTCGAGTAACGAACGGATGAGATCGGAGCAGTCACAACAGCGTCGAAGAACGTGGAGAAAGTTACAATAAGCACTCGTGTACGCCCCATCTTTCACAAAGTTTCCGAGCAGTCGGGGCAGGCGGCTGAGCTCCAGTGACTGAATGAACATGGCTGCTGGAAGGGGACGCGTCATTTCTCGCACGTCGCCACAACTTCGCCTACAAACTCTCCTCCGCTCGCATCTTTTTCGACCAGCGACGATGTCCAACCAAAGGGAGAGAATGTCTAAGATTTTGGCTTGAGCCGACGGATCTCCTGCGCAGACTGCTTCGCCTGTAAAAATCGTGTTGCACATTTCTTAAATTGCATTGAAATGTAAAAAAATGCGTGGATTACAAACCAATGATTGTGAAGGCATAAGCCAACCGTTTAAAGTCGGCGATGTCGCTCGTTCGCTTGATGCGGAGACCTGAGGCCAGCTGTGCGTGGATGAGGGCGAGGAATTCGTTGGCGTACGAGAGGGAGGGGTAGTTGATGGCAATTTGCATAAGAATGTGGGACATGAGGTCGACGTCGGAAAGGGTCAAGCCGGTTGGAGAGGAGCGGAGGTAAATGCTCCAAATGGTGAGAACGTCCTCGCCCATCTCCTCCCACTGCAGCTCGGGACCCTTCAGGATTTGCTCGATCGTTTGCAGGCATAGTCTGGAGTCAAACTCGCCTGAATTTGGAGGAATTAATTCGCAATTCGAAAAAATAAAATACGTGTGTATTTATAATCTTTTTATGCTCATGATATTCACCCGGAATTTTGCAGACATCTTCAGCCTGTTTTTGATTCTCTGCATTATCATTTGGTCGATATCCACCTGTGTTGGATGGCAGTACAACTTTTGGAGGATACGGTGATGGTGGTGCGTATCTCACCAGAAATTCCGGTTCGTGGCGAAAACTTTTCCCACTTCCGGAACAGTGCTCGCTTCGTTTTAAGATTTGGCAGGGGTCACATGGATCCAAAGACCTCGGAAGAATTACGCGTTGACAAGAATCCGCCATTGTTGTTCATCAAAGTATGCTTTGGCGTATGTGGAACTGTGGTAGTTTTATTAGCGATGATTGTCTCGGGACATAATGTTTCAATGATGATAATTAATTAATACTGCCCAAAGCACCAGGGTGCATAAACATTTTTGTACAACCTGCCAAGGCACGTATGGAAATGAGCATCATCGTGATTACTTGACTTGTATCTAGGTAACGCTTGGATCTCGTGGTCTTCTTAACCTGGTTTGGGACCCTTAAAGGCCAACCCATTAAAGGCCGTATGAAACAACCCGAGCGGAGATCCTCCAAAATATTGAAAATTTAGTGGACATCGTTGTGTCGATTTATAATATCGTTCTGTTTTCCGTTATGATTACCGATTATGAATGCAGCAACACCTCAAGTTTTAAAAGAAACTTAAACCTTAAGGCATATAAAACTTGATCAAAGTAATTATACACAGTAAAATTAAGCATCATTGTGATTAATTATGCTCTTTCTCTCTTTCAAGGTGATGTCAACGGGGATAAACATAAAGAAGCAACATGACGACACCCTTACAAAACATTTGGATTAGTAAAATAACTAGCACAAATTTTCATACGAAATGTATTCTTTATTCATCGTACACAATTTAATGATTATATTTTCAACATTTATTCATCTTTTTTGTTAAGTCTACAAACTCAACGCTTATTTTATTAAAAACTGATATCAGTAGCTACGTGTATATTAATAGTCTGTGTGCTTTCCATCAAGTAGAAAAATTCTGACCCAGTACATGCATACATATTTCGACGAACTGATGATTAGGGTGTTGAGGTGGAGCCTACGATACCCTGCACTTTTTGATGATGAGTACTTTGTCAGCAGTTGATATAATTTACAAAAATCCACGTGTGTGATTATACCATGTGAGACTATCATTTAATAATACACATTTACTTGGGTGCGTGCATGCTAATAACAACGCAGGCTTGATATCTGCTAATAAATTGCTACTGTGAGTCTATCATAAAAATGCTAAGGGTGCCCGAGTATTGCGAGGTTATTATTAAATTCTGCACTCTTTTAGACTAGACAACCTTTATCTTAACTTTGGAAAATTCATGTTACGCAATTAAAATAATGGTTGGAAGATGCTTAATAGCAGCTTATTACAAGATAAATATCAGTACGTACTTCAACATGATTAGCAAATTATTTAACCTATTATGAGTAAATATGTATGTATGTTTGCTATAAATATATGTCACCAGTTTAGTCAACGTCTAAAAATTAATTGCTTTGATACACATCGTCTCCTCTGCCTTGGCTGCTAGAGTCGAAACTAATGCTAATTAACTCTGTTGTAAAAGTATAAAGAAAATTGTTTCACGATGACAGCACGACATGAAGTATAATTATTATTTTTAAATATTAACATGTTTTTTTTTACTAACGGTTTTATAAATATTTTTTTTTATCCCGTACATTTTTTTCTTGTAAACTACGTTTCCTTAAGTCGACCTAAGCTAGAACTTTAGACACCTCGTATGTACTTATTTAATATGTAAGAGGAGATACATAGTTATTGTTTTGATTCACTCTTGCAATGCCGAGTGGGACGGTTGTACTCTGCAATTTCAGGAAAGGATAATGTTCTTTAATAGCAATATGACAATTAACGGAGCACATAATTTGGCATTATTATCACAGCGCTTACATTATAACCAGTTACTCGTCGTCTTCGCAAAATGGGATTCCGTTGGCGTAGGCGATTTTGGATAATGGCAGTCTTCGTTTCTCCACCCGAACCAGGTCCACACAACCCACAAAACCTGCAAAAAATGTGCAAATTATAGATTCCATGTGAATTTAGCTAGATAGCTGGGTAGGTCACAATCGATACAATTATGAATGTATGCACCTTGATGGTAGTCGGCCGGGATATCTCCAGGCTGTAAATACACGTGAAATAGATAACAATATGCATATCAAATTAGCCTCAATGCCATGTCACAAAATGGGGTAAAATATTTTAACGAGACGTTATGCTATCGAGTCTTACCAATACTGATCCTGCCACTCCCCCTGCAAACGCAAAAACACAAAAAGGGGTAAATTAAGACGTTCGGAAAGCCATAATGCTGGTCAGAAGATGATAAATTATTATTTTGTGCTTACCAATCCAAAATCTCCCATCAGAGATCAAGACATTGCTTCCAGGGGGCGAGGTAGCACGTTGAGGAATCGAGCCATCAACTTGGAGAACAATCAATCGCCGTCGACGTGCAATTAGCACCTGATGCCATCGACCGTCAGTAACTTTCACCTGCAAATAATAAAAATCGAGAATTATTCGGACTCTTGTTCACATATTAAGTTAAAATTATGTAATGTGGTCATACCTTGGATCTGATGATGACAGGTTTCTTATTTTTGGCACCAAGATCAACCCTATGAGAGATTTGGGTTTATTTCCATGCATTTCTGATTTAAGGCTAATTGCGCATTTACCTTAGTTCGGGATACCCGTTTACGAGAAACACACCCAAATATCCTTTCCGCATCTCATCCCCCTTCGGATTCCTCCCCGTCCACAGCACAACGCCAGATTTCTCCTCCGTCGTACGGAAGACCAACTCGATCCTATTTCGTCGTTGTGCTTTCACCCTGCATACATTTTTACACGAATTTTAACAGGCCCCAAATTCGTAGCATATTATTCTCAAGCAATGCGCGTAACAGTAGATTATCTATGAATGTATTAATGATGAGGTTAAAAGCATTAAAGAGTAATGGCCACCTTTCTACATCTAAATCATCATCGTGCTCCACGAGGGGAACAAACTCTTCATTGTCGTCCACAAAGTCCAGATCGGACAAGTCTTCTTCGCCTGCTTCCTCCACAGCTGGATTTGGATTGTCGGTCGTCGCATCTACCTCGTCCTCACTCCATTCTCCGAATAATTCGTCCAGTTGAGAGTCAAAGTTGTCATTGTAAAAGTCGTCGTAGTCTGAGAAGTTGAAAGACTCGCTGTTTAGTTAATTAGATCCACAAAGAAAGAATTCCGAGAAACCAAGAAATTATGGTAGAGCAGCAAGAAATAGAAGTGGTTAAATTCATGATTAGCATAAATATGCATGTACAAACATCCATAAGACATATTTAAGTATGTCGCAATATTATAAATTATGAATGACTTACTGCTTTGGGATTTTCCTGGGGAATTTTAGATAATTTTCTCCATCGAAGCGAACCGGACCCGGTACTTCGTTCCGATTCTCACAAAACTTTCCACCATACTGAGCTGGACACAAGCAGACGAACGAGTCCAGCCTGATAAAAATAATAAAAAATCTTGCATGTACTATGCTCGGCTCGAGGTCAAAAATTTAATATACGACCAATATAATTACCTAGGGAAGCAGGTACCACCGTTGGTGCAGGGTTTTGACACACTCGACCCACAAGGGGGACCTTCGTACCGATGGATAATTCTGTCCTTCAACGCAACAGAAATCTCCTTGTGATAGGTTTCCCCGTTCACCCGGATGTACTGCAGGACTCCGTCGAATGGGTGCAAGACTCCCAAGTCACGATGTACCATGTTCATATCACTGCAGGAACACACTTATTATAAGACACAAGTCGATCAATTAGTTTTTAACCTGTGATATTCACCTCATTCCTCCTACGAATAATGGAAGCTCAAGATTTAGCTCGGAAAGTGTTGGAGGGGACCGCACCGACTGGACGGGACCTAAATCATGCAAACATTAAATTTAAGTTTCTGAATTTTCTTATGTAACGAATTGTAAATTCTGTAATTTCTAATATCTTATTACCTCCATCCACTTGCAGTCGCCCGTCGCGACCTTCTCGCGAAGCCACGATCCAGTGCCACTTGTTGAGAGAGATTGGTTCGTTGGATCTAAAAAGCGATTAAAGATCAGCAAAAAACAATATGCTCAATCCAAATTAGAGACCAACCAAAATGGTGCCGTGGACTTACGTGAGGTTAGCTGTGCCAGATCCCAAATCGTACAAAAACTGGATGTGTCCATTTGAGACGAGCAACGTGACAAAGTCGGCCTTGCCAAATTCCTGCCCGTTGTAGAGGATCAGTCCATTGGGTGACCGCACTTTAATCCAGACCTCAATGTTCACAGTGCGACCTGCTCCGTTCTCTATCTTGGGTAGTTCCAAGAAGCTAAAGCCACGAAAGTCCAACATTGCCCCAGTCTCCTTTATCACGTTTGTCTTTGTCTCACAATGAACGCCTGGAAGAAAAGCAAGAAAAAATGAACTATCAGTTTGTCCCATCTCCGTCCTAACCACAAATTGCTCATCACGAAGCAATAATCTGAGCCATAAAGTCAAGTAAACGTCCCTCATTTAATTTAATTGCCTGGCTACTACTCCGTCCCCTTCTTACCCGAGTAGTCCGGTTGACACACGCATTTGTAGCTCGCAGCGACACCGAAAGACTGCTGGCCGGCCCGATTGGTCCAACACAAGCCGTTGTTAAGACACGGGTTTTTGGTGGCAGAACAGGGATTCTTCTTGGGAAAGTTTTCTTCCCCGTTCGCCGCCACGGAATTAGAGATGGCAAAACCATTATCCGAATTGTCTTCGATGTGATTCCGATTTTTGTAGGATTTGTGTCGGCTTTTGCCCGTTATCTCATCTCCGGCCTGCTCCTCCTCGTCCTCCTCGCCGCCTGCTCCTGCTGGGACATAAATGGGAGTGGTGGTGAGACGCCCACTACGACTTATCAGAGGACATTGTGACACTTTATGGAATGAGTTGACGAGTGGGTCCTTGTCTTCAAACTCGATGGGACGACGGCCAACTTTTAGGCGATGAATGCAACCCACAAATCCTTCCGAGGTTCCGACGGTTTCCCAAATTCTGGAAATAATGCACACAAGACGCGTGTAATGACACCACACGCGATGAATAAAATTATTATGGCTTCTCGTACTTTGTGGAGTTGAGGGGAGTAAATCCGAGGTAGCCCCCGTGGTCGAGATTTAGTGACTTCATGGATCCAGGACTCGTTCCCTTGATGTCGTCTTCCCCCTCCACTCGCAGCAACCCGTCTCGATTGTACCCTGCACCCAATTCAATAATCCGTGTCATCCTTTTACAATCACATTTTTCAAAATTGACAGTTTGAAGCGAAAAAGAGTGGGCGACAAATCAACGAGGAACTCACTTTTGGCCATGATATGATAATTTGAGCCAGAAATAAGTCGGCTAGAAGATCTGAGGATCGCAGGACCATCGCCCAAGTCGTAACGGAACTCGACATAACTGCAAACAACAAACATTAAGGGGCCGTTACATCCCTGGGTCTGATGCGTAGATAGAGATCCGCACATGTCGTAGTCGTCGTTGGACAAGAAGAAAGAGTAAAAAATACCCATCAATTAAAGCGAGAGAGAAGAAGTCTCCAGATCCGTTGGCATGTTGTGAGGAGAAGACGAGAATTCCATGAGAAAAGTTGAGGAAGGGGACGACCTCGATTTCCAAGCTCAATTTGTGGTAGCCAGCCAATTTTCCCAATTTTATTGTTGATCGAGAATATAACAATGGGGACGGGTAGTCTGCTCGTGGGAAGAAAAATGGAACATTTAATTAAAAAATAACAGAGAAAAAATTGTCCTTTATTGCAACCAATAAGTTATTGCGCATATCGCCATCCCCTCCACGACAGAGTAAGAAAGTGAGGACATTATACGCACCTTTGTGTTCGCAGTTGTCCTCGGGAAGAGATCGCCCAAGGGGACAAACACAGGAATACGACCCGTTCCGGTGGTCGAAACACGATGCCTCAGGCTCACACATGGTTGCGCCTTTGGAACAACTAATTGTCCCGGAAAGATGAGAATCTGCGAGAAATTGTAAATTCAGAAAATTTCCTCTCTTCTTTCCACGGTTTTTGAAAACTATGCACTTACGAATCGGTTTGCACTGGATCCTCTCTGGGTCCTCGTAGTAACCTTCCCTGCAAATGCACCATCCTCCGAGACTGCAATATTTATTTATTTATCATTCTCTACCTCGGGGCGGAAGAAGTAAACCAAAAATCTGAATCTACTGACCACACGCTGTGAGCTGCGATGCATTCCGAAGACCCCCCGCAAGAATCCCCCAGGTAGCTTCGCACCTAATGGAAATGAACATTTAGTTGTCAACGTGCGTTTTGAGACAGCCGTCAGATGACTTATGTATGGGCTGGCTGAGGGAGAATTTGACCAACCTGGACAGTGGCCGAGGTGGGTGATCTATGGTTGTAAAAGTTTTTGTAGAAATTGTCCTGCTTCGATTGGGGGAGATGTCGCGTGGACTTCATTCCGGAACCGAATCCATCTCTGATCCCGTCATCGCCCGGCTCCGTGAAATAGTTCATCCCAGTCCAACGTCGTATCGGACTCTCCGTCCCGTCTGACTCGCCTGGAGACGGACATGGACCATTATTTAAAAAATGTATTTGGCACAACTTATGTTTATGCAAAAAAATCTTGCTTACTTGAATCAGGACAGGGACCCTTGTGCACGACCCAGATTGGTTTCTGATCCCTGCAAGACTGCAACCGGACGAGACATTCGGATTCGTAGGTAAACCCATCACTTCCGCAAACTTCCTGCTTTCACACGCGTATTTCGAAAATAAATATTATAACCCGGCATAAAACTGGAGCCACCACCCGTCTAAAGGCTTATAATTTACCTCATTTTCAGACATATCGGAACAAACAATGTTGCACATGCAGCCCGCACTGGACAAATAAGATAAGTTATCCCCACGTATTTACAACGGCTGTCGATTTAATGCTTACCGGTCACCATCCTGCTCACACTCCGCTCCATAAGTGCACACCACCTCGTCACAATTCCGACCAAGATTCGTGGGGTCTGCATAGTCAAATTCAATCAACTCCTTTAAACTTGAATAACAATGGAAATGGGGATGACCAACCCGAGCAACATGCAGTCATACTTTGTTTGAGGTAACGTAAAAAATAACGGTAATGATTCTAGCCGCACGGGTTCTCTACTTTTTCGAAGGTTATTATGAGCTGTTGGTGGTTCAAATCATTTTAAAAGTTTTTTCCCTTCTTCTGCTGATTCATCAATTTGTGTTCCAAGTTGGAATTGAAAAAGGAGTGGGAGCCAGGTCAACAAATATTTGGTGCGGGTGGTGGAACGCACACATGATTCTGCTCGGCGTGCGTTTGGTTGAACAAACGTGGACACAATTTATGAATGAATAAAGGAGGGAGGGTGGTCACTGGGAAGGAGGCGAAGGTGGGAAGAGGAAAGGTTTGGTGGAGGAAATCTGATTGGATTATTGCCCTCAAGATGAGAGGAATCCATCCGAGATCAAATCAAAAATCAAAGACCCGAAAATCGCCCTGAGCTGGACAATCTCCACAAATCCACCGAGCCATCCACTCGCACCACTGCCAACCAAACTCACCACATCCACGGGATATTCCCCATTATGATATTACTTTTTCTCTCAAAGACCTTCTGCGAACACCAAGAGTTTGCAATATCTCGGAAAAATGAGACAAAGTTGTCATCGAATTTTGCACAATTATTGTAAACGATGGTAGCTCTCATCTGGCCTCGTACATTTGCGGAATTAGAGAGTCTTCACTTTTAAATGGAAATTTTGGTGTGAGATTTCACGACGGAACAAGTGAGAGCACCGGCGGAGGAAAGGAAACAATCTCAGGAGCAGCAGTTGCTTAGCTGGGATTGCTTCCAGTGAGGCGAGCCTGAGTGAAAGTAAACTTTGAGCGTCTCATCCTTCCTTGTGGATGGTGAGAGCAATAAGAAATACGGGAGGACGGTGGGAGGGAGGGTTGGTTGGTGGCAGTGATAGTCAGTGGTGGTCGGGTGGTGGGCTGAATATGAACATTATGATTATTGCCTGCCATCATATTATGAGATCCCGTGGAAGAATATTATTGGAGTTGATCCCGTTATTGGGGAATGGGTTAAGAATGAAGAAGAATGTGTCCGACTGCTTACCAGTGGTGCATCCGTATGGAGACAGGAACTCGCCTTCCACACAAGAGTCGCATTTGTGACCAAGAACCGAGGCTTTGCACTGCAACAAAGTAAATTATCACTGCCCATCACCCACTCGCAAACTACCCACAAAAATCGCGGTTATGACCACCAGCAACGTTTATTACTACCACCACCACCACCATCGCTCCATGGTAGTGGTGGTAGGTTCCGGTTTCTGGTTGGTTACACGAAAACAAGACTCGTCTCTCCTTTGCTCAACAACTTTCTCCATTTTTATCGAGAAAAAAGTGCAGCCAGCGAGAGACACGCAACTTCTGCTTGCTTTGAGACTAATATTTCTCCCGATAATTGCACAAGGTCAAGAAGATCAACCGGATTAGGATGCAGAGTGAAAATAATGACTTACGACACATCGCCCCGTCATCTGCTCGCAATCTTCTCGTACAGATCCAAATCTCGAACATCCGCACGCTACAAATTAACCAGCGAGAATTAACAAATGCTTAATTATTGCTCCACTTTTCCCCATTTGTATTTTTATGCGTACCCCTGCACCCTTGCTGAACGTCGGCCTGCCTACGAGCGAGCCCCCAATATCCGGGAAGACAACGGTCGCACTTGGTACCGCCAACGCCTGGTCTGCAGTCGCACTCCTTCGTGTCGGGGTCGCAAGTTTCTCTAATGGAGCCCAACTTATTGCACAAGCACATGGACGGACAACCACCATTGTTTTCACCCAACGCTGCAGTCTTCCCATCTGGACAACAACCAAAAACACTGTCATCGCATCCGGAGGAGCTGCTTAAAATGAGTCCTCCATTGTTTTGAGGTTTCGCAGTGGTGGTCGATTTTTCCTCTGCAAAAAAATCCACAAGAGCACATAAATATTTACTGCATTAACCGATAACTCAAAGTTTTATGTACCTTTTTTGCAACATTTTGCAAAATTCTGTCCTCGATGACAAAAGCTTCCAGCAGGGCAGTTGTTTCGATAAGGTCCGGATCCACAGTTGAGCTCGACCCCTTCACCATTTTTCAAGGGGTCCTCTCCATTACAGGGCCTCACTTCCAGTTCTAGTAAGACATATTTCAATGGAGACGGAATAACGGAAAATATAGGCAACTAACTCATACCCTCGCACAACTCCATGGGCCGCGGTCTCAACTCGGTTTGGCGATGACAAGCCTCGCGTCTCATTTCACAATCGGTGGGATATAGTTTGAGGTCAGATGCGCAAATGGGAGACCCTGGTGCGAAGGTGCAGTTGAACTGAGGAGCAACAAGACATACGCAATTAGACAATACTGAAAATGGGGAACTTTCTCTCTTGATGCTTATCAAATATTTACCTGGCACGTGCATCGTGGATAACTGTCACCCCCAATCTCGCACACGGATCCGTGCTCGCAATGAATGGAATCGCACAGCTTAGAGGACGCAGGGCCCATGAGGACGACCACACCCCCGCCGTTGCTATTGAGCAGAGTGGGACGCCCCTCATTGTTCAACCCGTTCTGTGGCTGTTGCTGCCATGTCCGTCCCTTGTTGAGCCCATCTATTTCATCGCAAGCAGAATTAGATGACATCGTCACCTCGTCCGCATGAGATATAAAGTCACGATGCACTTCCTCACGGGAGAAATGGGGAAAAGTGGGGTTCGTGTCGCTATAAAAGTGCTGAAAATGGGACTCCCCGCAGCGAAACATGGCATTTAGCAGGAAGTAATAAATGGCGTCATCACACAAGAGAAGTGTGACTATAATTCTGGATTGATATGGGACAAATTCATTACACAAACTGCTCGTGGTCGCACCACGAACAAACATTTATTGAAAATGGAGCCTGGGAAAGTAGGCGAAAAGTGATAAATGTGTCTCTACTTGGCATTCCTCCAGCCCCACGTGGCACTCGAACCATGCCAAACTGGGAGTGGGAAGACTTACTCGCTGGTGGTGGGGGTTGCGTGGGGGTGCCGCCAGCCGCCCGGTGAGGCACAAGTCCTTCCACGCATTCCCCGTAAAAGTGGACCGTGAGCGAGTGGCCCAGTCGACACGCTGCCTTCTGAAGTTCGCACTCGTTCGTGTAGGTCAGAAAATCGGATCCGCAAACAGGATCGCGAGACAGTGGGCATTCGGTTGGACAAACGCAAAACCCTTTTTCGCACCTTGCTCCAAATTTGCATTGCACATTTTCGCATAAATCTGCACGATGGGATGAAACGATTTATTGGTAAACGAAGTGAAATTATAGGAAATTAGTAATAATTCGTACCACAAAAGCCTCGAGAGGCGACGACAATGAACTTTTGTTGGAGACACGCCTCTTGTCGCATGATGCACTCGTTCTCGTACAACTTTCCATCCGTGCCGCACACTGATGCTGTTCCTGGTTGTTTAGGGACAGCCTGCTACACGAGTGAGTACAAAGTGGGCCATAATTATTCCGTGCATGTGTCTCGTACTCGCATCATTGTTGCCATTATTATTTCCTTTCCCCATCCAGGAAGTCACTTACCGTCGACTGCGTACAGTTTTGCGGACACACACATTTCGCTCCTCCGGACAGATCCGTCTCACAAACAGAGTAAAAGTCGCACTGGGTCTGGTCGCATCCGTCTGAAATACACAACCAAGAATCAGACGGAGGAGTGAGTACAAGGTCGATATCGAATCGTGGTGGTGTGAAGTGAAAGTATATGCGAGTGTGGCCATTCTATGTGACTCATGGTGTGGTAATGATGAGACCAGAGTTTGTGGTTGACATGATGGTGAGTTTCTCCCTCTTTTTCTTGTAAACAAAAGTTATCAACAGATCGAAACAAGCAGTTTTAGACAAGCGGCGAAGAAACATTGAGCAGTGCAAAGATTTGACACTAATCGCAACTAAATATTTGTTGGTGGCTCGGAAAGGAGATTATTGCAACGAGATGAAGTGCGCGGCTGTTGGGTTTAATCTTTTGTTGGTTTTATTGCTTACCATCACCATCGCTAAAATCACGAATAAGATCTGCAAATGAGTAAGCAAAATCACTTTCACGAAGGACAACAACACATCGAGAAGAAGGCACGACACGACTTGGACAGAAATAAAGAAGCCCTAAGTCATTTTGGGCGACGGCGCGGTATACAAGCTTTTCATGGTATCTGTAGTGGATAATTTCCCCCTGAATGCGCCGCTTAGATTAATTGACTGATTCTCCAACCGTGTGAAAGAAACAGAGCGACTCGGTTTGTAAATGGGTCGTGAAAGTTTGTAAGTTGTTGTGTTTTTGGTTTACATTTTGCAATGCATACATCGTCGCCACTTACTGCAAAGTCCGTTGTAGATGACACGAATGGACTGGTTGGAGGTGCAGGCTTCATGCTGCAAGCGACACGGGTTTTGGTACGAAACGCCATTGCTGCCACAGACCGGGTCGTAGTCGGAGGGACATGAAGGGCAGTCACACACCGCAATCCCACCCCGCTCGGAACACACGGCTCCAACGGGACATCGGTGTTTGGAGCAGACGTTGCCTTCTTCTGAAATACAAATTAACACGGAATAAACTCCTGGCCCTCGTTTCGCAAGGACGGACGACTGACATTGTTATGATTATGTTGATTGCATCACTTGGTTGCGGCTGTCGATGGAGTAATGATGAGAAGTTGGTTACGTTCTCACCGTAAATAATGATGGGTGGAAGTTAGCGTCGGTATAACAAACCCATCCCGTTGAACTACGAGGAGTAAACACTGCGAGGTGGTGGGTACCACTGCTCCACCCATCTCGGATCATCACCGCCATAACCGTAGTCATCAACTTTCTTCATTTTTACCCACTTTCGTCCCCTTTACAGCACGTCGTGATGATGACTCGTTAAATCTGTGCGGCGCATCTGTCTCTCTTTCTCGTCTGTCTATCTCTCTCGTACCTCGTCCATATTTGGGTGGAAAGTAAGTAGGAGGGCAGATGAAGGAGAAGAAAGTGAGACAGAGTTGCATCATTTTACTTTGTCTTGGGGTTGAGGAAATTGCCTCCATTGAGGGAGAGTGCTAAATGTTTTAGTTTTAGGGCTGCCGTGGACTGCGCCTCAACCCATAAATCCTGGCCGAAAAGGGTAAAGTGGCGTAAATAGTGAATAAATACGGGAAGTGGGTGAAGTCAAAGAGGGAAAGGTGCACACCAGTTCATGCCGATAATTACATGGTAGGTGGATGGTGATTTGGGTGATATCACCCTCGAGTGCGGTACTATGTATAGCTCTCTGCTTGCTGTGAATAGTCCCCCGAGCAGTTGGTGGAGGAATGACCACGCCATAAAATAAAGCAGCAGCAGTGGAGCAGCAAGATTTGAGATACAATCTCCAAGAATTTCCTTCCACGTACTTTCACCAGCCAAGCCCTGAAGCTGGATTTGAAAATTTGGGAGTGATGCAGAAATGCTAAGTCTCAGATTATTCCCTTTTCAGACCTCCGCTAAATACTCCCATGCTTCCCAGAGTCATACCTCTATCCGGCTTAGAGGGGCTAACACATGGATTACGTAGGGCTTTCTCTCTTTCCAAATAAATCCTGCACTGGTCAGATCGGATCAAAATTTCCACCACTGTGCTCCCCAAGCCTTTCTATCTCGTCCTTTCTCCGCCGCATTCGCCAGCTCGTCAGTGGCTCGTGAATGGCATCCCCAGCGGAGAAGGTGGTGAGCTGGGTGCACGGCCCGTAATCGGGGAGACAAAACCATTAATGCGATTAAAGGATTGCGTGCAATTGATCTGCACGAAAATGGAGAGTATTATGTGGTAGTAGCCAACTGCAAATTAAATGCAAAGCCAGCAGGCCGGACCGAAAGTTTCCAAAAGTTGAGCAAACAAATGTTGAGGGTGAGTTGAGGCTGTTTATGGTCAGGGTGCATATGTCAGAGGCTCAAATAAATGGTGGTTCAAGAAGCCGCTTAATTGCTTCCATTTGGATTTTGATGCTTTGAAAACTTTCTCCTCTCCCCATCCGCCCTCGCTCATCCGCAGCTCCCACTCGCCTCGAATTAGCCTTTTAACGGCTTTCATAAATTTATTATGACTCAAATCAAGGATCGAGGATGAATATCAAAACAAACCAAATCACAACCTCCTCCTCCCCACCAGAAGACTAACTAACGACAGGTTAATGCACGTGTGCACCTTGTTTTATGACGAATATAATAAGCTCTGAGCTCAAAATTGTGTATATGCTAGGACTCGTTTTTGCAGTGTCAGGGGTTATTACCTGCGGGGAGACGACAACAAGGGAAAAGTGCAGCCACGACGAGTGCACCATTTTCTGGGAGAAGGAGAGAGAGAGGAACCGGGCAATAATATATAAGTTGTGATGTTCGCGATAAGATTTTTAGTGCTTTCACATCCGCTGGTGGTGGTCGGGTCTAATCTAAATCTAATATTGAGCGACAACCATCATCATCCTGGTCATTGTAGTGGCCACCCCACTAGGCACCACCTCCGCCAACTCTGCGTTGCGTGGCCATTAAATTTCATCACTGGAGACAACCACTTCCGCACCTAAAACAAACCGAACCACAAAGATTTCCTCCGACCCCCGCCCACGCGAGGACCGTGATGAACCACCACACGCACCCGTCCGTCACTCTCTCAACCCACTCAAACACAATGGAAAATCGGGCTTTCTCTTCCCCTCGCTCTTTATGCGAGTCACATTTCAAGCCCCACTTTCAATCTCATTTTCTTCCTCGGAAAACACACCTGGGCGATTAAGGACCAAATTGCCATCATTTATGGCCTTTTGCCGCGCCATGATTTCCTCTCAAAGCAGTTTCCTTCTATTTTGAGAAACAGGCATGATCAGCTTTCTTTTTAATTTTACAAGTAGCAAGGATTTTAAGAATGATGAGATTTTTCAACGACATTCTGGCAGAGGAAAATTGTTAATAAAATTGATAATAAAATTCTGGAATTTTCCCAATTTCACGACATGAAAGTAAATATTTTTTTAAAGGTAATTAAATTTAAAAAATAGACCGAGAATCAATATGAACCATAACATAGAAATCTGTGTACATATTCAGAGGGGCAGGATTCGTGGAATATGCATAATTTTCAATCTTCTCTCTCACAGATTTTAATGCAGATTGATCGCTGTCATTCCTTCTCTGTCGTTTCCAGAAAGAAATTCCAGGGTAAAAGGAAAATGAGAAAAATTAATTTACAAATTTTTCCTCTCTGCCTTTTGATCCTAAATAATCCAATTTGTGGGGGAGAGAGAGGAAGAGATTACTCCGTCGTAGATTAAAGGGGAAAACTGACTCAATGCGACTAACTGAATGGGTTAAAATCTAAAAAATTCTGCCTCTTCCTCCTCCGCTGCTGCTGGTTTGCTTGCGTGCTTGCTTGCTTCCCTGCTTAGGTTGAGATTGGAGATCTATTTTGTGAGGACTGATGAAAAATGTGACAGGAAACGGGTACGTTTTGGTCGTCGTCGTCGTTTTGTGCTTGCCAAGAGAAGTGGATATGGACCGAATAATTTCAATTTATTCTGTTCAGAAACACAAACAAATCTCATTTGTCTTTAGACCCAGCTTGTCCTCCTTCTGCACGACGACCTCAATATTTTTTTTGCAAACAACTCTCCATTTTTGCCCGTGAAGCTATCAACAGCCCATTTGCATATTTTGCAAAGGTGGTGGAGGATCCCCACCGGAGAAGACAATGACCTTACGTGTAAACATAGGGAACGATATTCTTACCACAAGTTCCCTTGAAGGCGACGGAGGTGTTTCGCGACTCTCTGCACGACGAGAGGGTGAGCTCGCACTCGTTGTCGTAGGTTCGTCCATTGTCTCCACAAACAGGTCTGAAGACGGGGTCGCAAACGGCCACGCAGACACATTGCGCTATCCCAAACCGGTTGATGGCACAGCTCTCGTAGCCGTGGCAGGTCCGACTCTCGCACGGGTTGACTCCTGCAACAGGACGAACAAAGGAATAAAGTAAAAAATACTTAAGGAAATCTGGAAATGAGGAAGGAAGTAGGAAACAAGATGGTGAGGACGAGATACGCGGAGTGATCAGGCCTTAATTAGACACCATCCATCAGTATTTGAAGTTGATTCAATTTAAACTCAAAATGCCCGTCAGTCAGTCTAATAATATTTTCTTTCGGGTGAAGCCTCCACTGTGCAGTTGCACTCCTCCATGGAGGAAAACCAGTGCTGGGAACATATCGCGACGTTGGTGGTGGTGGTGGTAATGGGAGAGAGGGAAGATCCATCAATCAAGAATTTGATGGTGTCAGTCAGGGAATGAAAGTGTTCATGGAGCGGATAATCTCAGCCCATTGGAGAATGACTGCTCAATACTCCACTGCCACCCGACCCAACCCAGAAGAAAGACCCAAGCAAAGACGGAGAGAAAGCAGCGAGTCGTCCGAAAGGAAAAATCCCTTCACAAAAATCCGCTGAAAACAAACTTATGGGATGACGATGGAGGGGCAAACAGGGGGGTCGTCTCGCACGTTATTCCGCCCAGTGATCCGAATCATAACGGGTCGTATCGCTCAAGAACAAGCCTAATTTTTTTAATTTTGTGTAAAAACAATTTAGTTCAAGGATGGGTAATTCGGGGCATGTTGGGCGAACGAGGTGGGTTGGATGCATCGGGATGTGGTGGAAGAAAGCGGAGAGAATGAGGAACATGAGAAGTGGTTGGTGTGTTGTTGTAGCTGGAAAAATTCCCCAGTGGACCAGCTCAAATGTCAGGGATCAATATTTGAGCAAGATTAATAACACCCACACTTATCGTGCACCCCACCACTGCCAAGAAGACCACCCTTGCATATACACTCATGCAGATGCATATGCTACACAACATGGCAGAAATATGTCTTCTTCTCTCTCGCGGTGTCAGGATGTACTCCATTCTCCAAATGTGGCCCCTCATGCATGCATGTGAGTAAATTCACTAAATTGCATGGCATCTTCAGAGAAAGCTCATTCCATAAATTCTTGAAAATGCAGATGAGATAAAGTCCAGATTTAAGCTGGCGGAGACAAGTCGGAGGCGTCTTTTCCATAACCAAGCACGCTCCGCACTCTCTCCGACGACATCCAGGCAGGCGAGCGAGCGGGGATGATGAGATTGATATTTCGAGTGCAGTCCCTTTGAGACAAGTTGGTATTTCACTCAGCACACGCTTTCACTCCGTCCTCTCCGTCCTGCTCCTGCTCTGGCAATGGGCAGGGTGAGACGAGAACGGGAAAATGGATTGGTTTCCCTGCTCCTTACTTTTTTGGGCCTATAATTATTTCCTACTTTTTTTGTAAATATCACTTACCCGATGAGCATTTGCCTCTGTAGATGATCCGCAAGTCGCGACGTGAGCGACAAGCTTCCTGTCGCATGATGCACTCGTTCGAATAGGTTTTCCCATCACTGCCACAGATTGGGGCAAAGTCCATGCTGCAAGATTCTCCACAGCGACACATGGGACGTCGGTCCTCGTCCAAGTGACAGATTTGAGGCGTCGAGCACTCAATATCGTCACAGGGATCTGCAAAATTGAATACAGACAAAAATCAAAAAACGACAAATTCAAAAAATCGAAAGAACCGTAAAAAAAGTTTGGAAATTGTTGCTTCAGAGGACTCTTTTTGCTCAGTGAATAGTCAGTCAGCCATGAACTTATGTGACAAAGGAGGAAATGGTATTTCGTAATCTCGTAAATAATTTGGACTTTAATGGTGGGAGAGTGAGAGGTGGGGCAGGAAAAGTGTTATATGATCCATGACCGGGGATCAGGACAGGAACGTAATGACGAGTGTAATGGGATGTGATGTAATGCAATAAGAGTTTGTCCATCATGTCCAAAGTCCGATAAAGTCAACTCGCTCCATGACATGATCATCACAAGTGTTGTGTCTTGGGAAAAGAAAAGAATTATCTCCGCTCCCCCGAGAAAAGTATCCGCCATCCATCCGCACACTGAGCAGCTTGGCCATACATAAATACATACTCGCCAAAGTGTTGATTCAGCCCGTGTATAAATAAATACGAGCAGCGTAACGGAAATAAGTGGGCATTTCTTGCTCCAAAGATCTCTTTCTCTGTGGTTGCTGGGAAAATACGTGTGCCGTGTTGTGTAAGCAGAGGTCAGTCCGTCGTCGTTGAGATGTCGTGGAGGAAATAGGAAAGGACAGCCAATCTCCCTCCTGCTCTATCCTAAACGGATAGCCGAGTGGGCAGCGAAGCACTTTGGAGTAATCACACGGGGAAAAGAGAGCCTCAAAGTGCGAGGAGAGGACGAATCGTCATTTTATTTTATTACTTTCTCCATGAGAAGGTTTGCAGATTAAAATTAGGAGGAAGGAAGAAAAGTTGCTGACAAATGGCTTCATGTTGCTTGCTCTACAAATGACAAACATGATGGACCTATGGACCATTATTATTAGGAAGAAAGGAGAAATCTTGTCCCATCCAACGTACACATTGTTCTCTTGAAAAAAGGGAACATTAAGATGGCAGGCGAATAGAAAGCCATATATCGTTCCACTGTCTGGATGGGAATAAAACCCTTTGTGAAGTTGTACGTAGCCACGCTTGGTCACAAGCGGGGAGAAGAATAACATTGATCGTCGTCGTCGCTAGCAGTCGTCGTCGTCATCGTTCCACCTCAAACATTTCTGTCAACGTACTCAAAACTACTTTGAGAACCTTTTTGAACTTTTATTTTTACTTTCTTTGACCTGCTGCTGTTCTCTGCAGAAAATAGGAAAATAAGTCAATCTAGCCATCCATCTCGAGACACGGCAGGTTGTACGACTGCCATCTCTTAGTTGTTGGACAGCTTTTCAATTATGTTCCCGTCCTTTTATGACCTCTCTCTCTCTGACATTCCACTTTCTCAGTAAGAAGAATTGCACGAGGACGACGACGACTTTTGAACGCGGAGGATAATGGACAAAGTGCTTCTTTTGCGATCAACTCCAACACAAAAAAAACTTTTTTAACGGGAAATAAAACTTTTGAACTTGAAAGGACAATTGGGTCAAGAATTGAAAGGAAAACATGTTTTCCTTGTTTTTCGGGATAATGCATTCCCTCGAATTGTTTTTTTTTGCTATTTTGATGCAGCGGGCGATCAATGACTCGTCAGAAGGCTGAATTTATTATGAATGGAAGAGTTAAGACGTGTCTACTTACCACACTTGCCAACATATTTGACGGTGATGTTCCTCCCCAAGTGACACGCTTGGCGGTCTAGTTCACACTTGTTCTTGTAGAATTGACCATCCGATCCTGAAAAATCCCCCACAAAGAAAAGTGATCATCAACTAAATAATTTTATGGTCAAAGTTACAAACGAAAAATGATGTCCACTAATGAGGGCACTTACCACAAACGGGTTGTGAGTCGTCCGAGTCGCCATAGTTGGGACAGGAGTCGGGACACTCGCAGGACGCATAGTGACCATCCGCTGATGCCACGCATCTCGACCCAAACAAACACGCCTTGTCCGCACACGGGTCTGGTTTATCTGCCGGGTACAAATAACATGCAAAGTTCACATGAAGTTCACCCACGACCAGAAGAAGCACCACCAAAGACAACTTTCTCCACTGCATTTTGCCCAAGATTTGACAAGATTGCTTTTTTCTCTTATTTTTACTCTCGCTTTCTCACCAGCCACTAACTCAACGCTGCACCTTGCTCACTTTATATTCTTTTTACTAGTTTGGTGGCAGGGACTTAATCAAAATTTGCACGCCGAGTGGAGCAAATGAGATTTTTGGCATTTGAGGATAATTTGTCGCCAAGGAGGAACAGATTCCAGTTGGAGAGCTGCGAGAGGAACGAGTCCAGTGCAACGTGGGTGCCGCGTCAGAATGTTGTTGATCAGGAAGCAAAGCTTTCTCCAGGCTCGCTTCCTCGTCGACTTCCTTCTGGAGGACAAGTAAATCTCTGGACTGCCCAATTCACCAAACCCCCCAGAGAAGCAGTGCAGAACGAGATATAAGTGGCCGAAGGATTCGCACTGTTGCTTTGCTAGGTCATGGAAATGGAAAACTCGAGGAAATAACTGCACTGCCACGACCACGGTGGTATGAAGTAGGAGGGGAAAGGTATATCAAAAACCTGTCTGGCCGAGGGAGTGGGATTTGCTGGGTAATCCGACCGAGAGAGAGAGAGAGAGATGCGGTGTTTGAGTTTAAATAAGCCTGTTGGGAGTGAGTTTGTCCTCGTGGTGGGTGAAGTGGTGGACGTGTGAGTGAGGAGTGTGTGGAAGGTAACAGGTGTGGTAAATTTGGAGAAATCTGCTTTCTCTCCTCCTGCTCCGGCTGCTGCTGCCTCTCTCTGCGAATGGAGAATGGAAAATGGACTGACGAAATGAGAATGGATTTGTAAATGAGATCCTCCACTCTCCTCCTGCCTCACTCGGCCTCCTTCTTCTTTCACTCTCTAATTCACAATCTGCTCCCAAGAAAACATGGCCAGGGAACAAGCACAGCTTTCAACACCGCCACCGCCTCCCACTCGTACGCAAATTAGACGCTGGGCTGAGGTATCGTCGCTCACAACGACACGCTTTGTGGTAATCCCTCCCTTTGTGGTGGTGATGGAGCCTGTTTGTTGGCTGGTACTTGGAGAAAAGCTGTTGAAGAAGTAAATGAAGGGAAAAGCCGATATGATGCGGGCCGTCTTCTCCATGAATACGTTATGACAATGAGGACAAGACTGGCAGGAGAAGCACTGGCCTGGCAGCAGACACCAATTCTCTCCTTCACCATCAACAATGAGGAGCTGGCGAGAGATAAGGACCACTTTCTCCACCCACCACTAACCGGCACACACGAACCACCAGCTCCTTCTCCCCTAATGCCAGCTTCCTGACTAAACACCACCGAGAAAAAGATAACCGCACATGCATAATGGGTGGAAGAATGCAGGGTGGTCCACCCACCGCATACACACACCTTCCACCACCACCACCACCTCCGTATAGATCTGCATACGTGGTTTTCTCCTAGAAGCTCATCCGTCTTTATTGCCACGGGCACTTCTCAAACTTTTTCATGTTCTTTTCCTTCCTGGTTTAAAACAGCTGTGCTTTTTTAGGGCTTACTCGACCATGAATCCCATGTATTTGTCTGCGACAAGGGAGAGGAGGACGGAAGAAAGGGAACTGTATCAGGAGAGCCCGAGGTGGCTGCATGACTACACCCGCTCCTCGCTTTCTTAATGGACAAAAGACCACAAATCTCGCTCGGAAAAGTTTGTATAGGGCACAACCGAATTGGAACAAGTTTGAGAAGTAAATAATGAAGGATGATGTCTAAACAGGAGAAAGTTCTTTCTTCGGCATACGCCCAACGTTAACGCCGTCAGGGTAACACCTCCTCGTCGGAGATCTTGCATACGCGTAACGAGTATCACATTTCCCGTCTTCCGACAACGGCATGGTTTGAGCAGACGGGGACAGGATGGCTGCATGGCCGCCGACCCTGGAGCAGTGAAATTCGGGATTATTTATGCAGTTCCCACCCCCCGCAACAGTTACAAAGATTAGGAAAAGTGTGGGCGAGCAGGCTCTTTTATTTGAGAATAAGTTGCAAAGAAGAAAGATTTTATTTAAAATTTCTACTCCATTTAATCAGCCCGACACCTTTAGCTTACTTTCACTCCATCGACTCGCCCATTTCCCTCCCCTCATTTCTGCATAACAACAAACCATTCCAAACTACCACCACCAGAATCACGAGGGGCTCTTGGGAAGCTCGTTCATTCAAATGCCTGTGTTGTTCACATCGAGAACAATCAGCATCCATCCCTTCTTCCCTGCGAGAGAAAGCCTGACTCCATTGTGCCCTCCGTTTATGAACCCGACCTGCGAATGGTTTCCGAGAAATTTTACAGCTCTTGTTGTTATTAATAATTGGTAGCAAGAGGGACGACGACGACGAGCTAATGAATGCAGTCGGCAGTATGCAAAAGTGGAGAAATAAGAAAGCCAAGTTTCTATATTTTATATTTGTGTGCTTTCTGGTGATGGGTCTCCATTAGACGTATCTTGTGCTGCACTTGTTCGAGGCAGCATTCTCGCGGTGGCCAGCATACGAGGCAGATTTGTAAGGGAGCATATTAGCCAAATAAGCACCACAAGACCTATAACCTCGCTTATGTCGAGGAGAAAGAAGGAGGAGGAAGAGGAGGAGGGAGAGTTAGTCCACTTATTATGAACTGAAAATTAAATTAATTTCCCCTCGACTGGGTGAAAGCACGTAAATTATTTCTCTTTGACTTTCTCTCATCCCAAACTTTTCCCCAAGACGCAATTAAAACTATACACATATTAAAAGACTGCGTATTCATGGGTGCTGAGTGGTCGCTCGTGGAGAGAAAGCAGTTCAGATTTATTTCGATACTTTCCCAAGAAAACAAATGAATTTCTAAGAGAGAAATTACTCGTGCGCCAAGGTGCACTAAAGTACCGCCATGCACATAAATATGTATTCATAATAAAGTGGATGAGACTGGGTGCGCCGTGGGCAGTGGTGGGCAGGATCATTTGTTACGCCGTGATGAGACAGGGACACGGAGGAGAGTGTCATGTGTGCCTCATGGCGAAAAGATGAAGAAGTGTGTGTATTTGGAGGAACACGGGTTATAAAAGATGATGAGAACATCATCAAGAGGAATTTGGGCAGATGTAGTTGGAGTGCGATAAGACAGAAGAGTTGACAAAAGGACTTGATGACACTGCCGCTCTGTCGGTGGGAGTTTTATGGACGGAGGCAATGTGTCACTTTCACTTGGAGTGAAAGCCCACATACACTTTCTTCTTCCAGGCACAGAATGAGAGATTCTGCCCGCTCTCTGCTTCTGATACAGCTCACATCATTTCTTCCGGGCCATCTAGCACCACACCAACTGATCCCCCACCACGAGGCCATTAGCGGCCACACTGCCACAATTATTATCTCGTGATAAATATGGATGTCTTTCAAACTGGTGCAGTTGGCGGCCTTATTTGAATTTATACATCAAAAAATGAGATTATTATTTTTATTGCGGCGATAATAGCTGCTCCAGTCGAGTGGTTGGGGCTGAGGGGGAATTGAGGCGAACACATGTACATACATACATGCTGATTGTGAACGAGTTTTTGACATGGGTGGACTTTTATGCCCTGCAGCAGAAGGAGGAGGCGGAGGAGGAGAGATGTTGGACGTGATGAGACAATTGTCTTGGTTCTGGATGGCTTACATCTGTTCGTTCTCTCGTCGTCGAGCAGTGCCAGGGAGGAAGGAAGGAAGGGAGATTCTCACATTATGCAAGAGGACATCATGTGCCAAGACAACCACCACGACTGACAATGTCATTTTCATTCGGCATCATTTACCACGAATTGTTCAACTTGGCATGATGGCGAGAAGAGTCAAGCACTCTCATGTCCTAATATTCCCATTATTGTAGTGGCAATATGTGCCTTTCCTGCCAACTGTCTCCTACTCCTCCCACAATGTAAATGTTCCGCTTGGCTGATGGGAGTAGCGCTTAAATGCGTGAAAAATGACATGTTGTCAAAATCCATAAAAAGTGAAAGTCTCAAATTTCCCGTCTCATCCGCTGGGCAGGTTTCGGTTACAGGAAGGCTGTCCTCACCTACGACGAGTGGGTCGGATCAATGGAGCCTTATTTCTCGTATTCCCGACTATCCTGGATTGTTTAACAACTTTCTCTTTGCTTATTTCTGGCGTTTTATCTGCAAAGTGTTCAATTCTCTGAGCATCATCTCCTCCTCTCAGCCAGACGAGGTCTGTGTGGTGGTGAATAAATAAAGCGAGTAGATTGGATCCCCTTGACCATGAAATCGAATCCGCTATCAACTTCGGACATCAATCAACCATCAGTGGAAGAACGGTAATTGAAATTTCCGTAAAAAAGGAACAGCTTCGAAAAGTCCACTTTACTTGGTCCACTTCAAAGAAGGACGTACGCGCTCACTCACTCACTCACTTCACTCCAATCAACCCGGTTGCCATACCGTAGGAACAAAAGTGAAGAGGAAACGGCCGCACGGGGAAGAAATCGGTCAGCATAAGCCGAGTAAAGGATGCCGACTTTTTATTTTTATTTTGAACCATCGTCCTCCTCGTCAAGTTAAATTTTGCTGAGAGAGAGAGAGAGCGATGCAATTATGAAATACGGGACTTATTCCCTTCACATGCATGCATGTTCCGCATTCCCCGTGACTGGATTTTGACCGAAAAGGCATAAATAAGCATTCCATCCATTGTATTTCCACGCAGTCAATATTATAAATCAAATTTCCAAATTCAATTTCGCCACTGGGCAGGACACGAGCGAGACCTATTGTGCCCTGCAAGACGCAAGAAGAAGGAGAGAAAGGAATCCGATGCAGACGCCACAAAAACGCCACATACCACACACACACAACAACTGCAACATCCCATTGTGCTCATATTTGATTTTTTTTATCCGCCACACGCCGTACATAAACTGCGTCACCTTGTGCACATTACCCTCCGACCTGTCGTTACTGGGGTTCCCTTTGTTGTAAGGAAATATGTGCAACTGGAAAATTGACACTTTTTATTTTTATGTGCAATTTTGTTACTGCCGTCATTACTGCGCAACTTGTGTGAAGCCTCCTCAACTTTGAACACAATGACTTGTGTGGTTTTGGGATAAAAAATCGAGGAAATAAAATGTGGCGAAATAAAAATAGCAGAGAGAAAGCGCTCTTATGGCCGTTACTGTCATAAACATTTGTTCCTTTGTTTTCTTGGACAAAGTAGAGCAGTCCTCGAGGAGTGAAAGCACGGGGAGCAGCAGCAGTGGCCCAGTTGTAATAGACTGCACTTGATTGGGAAATGATTCTTTGGATGGCCTGTCGCACAATAATGTGCGTCCCAAAAAAACACCAAAAAGTAGAGTCAGCGCGTATGGTTACGTATCAGAAGCCGACTTTGCAAAAATTGTGCTAGTTTGGCTGAAAATCGTTATTACCCTACTTTGGAATTCAGTTTTAATTTTTAAGGACTGAACGTACCGACAATTTTCATCAATCCATTCTAATAACTGCTCCGGCCTAATTTGCTAATGGTCCTAATGGCAGGCTGAGCAATGCATGGAGAGAAAGTCCCATTCCACTTTCTCCACTCTGTTTTGAGTTTTGGGAGGTGGTGGAGATGAGCGGAGTAAAATAAAACAAATGATGATTTCCTGGATGCACATAAAACTGCAATTTTTTACTGTTCCCGCCCCGAACTCCATACTTCCCAGTAATTCTTCTCCATTAACTCATAATTGTTACTGCTTTCTCTCCTCCTTCCTCTCTCCAGCAGATCTTTGGCCACATCGGAAACCAAGACATTCCTGTTTTTTTCTTCCCTCGATTCGCAGCAGGGCTACTTTTTCGTCTAAATCTTTAATTTTGGATGACGCCTTCTCGTCTCTTGAGAAAAAAGCCCACTCACTCGCCGTGTTGTGTGTGTGTCTCGATCGCAATTATTGGGCAGAACGTCGCACAAGTGGCCAGCCGACGTGGGATAAGAAGACACAACAACTGAGCAGAGTTCGTTTTTTGTTGTTGTGAGGAAAAGTAAATTGAAATTACGTCCATTTCTTTTGACGATGAGGATGACGAGTGAGTATGTAGTGCGACTAGTGCGAGTAGGAGAAGGCAGAAGGAGGGAGTGTATGGCGGGTGAGTGAGGTCGAGGTGTGTGCAGTGGAAAGCGAGCACTTTGCCCATTAGCCCACAAAGCAAGTGAAAGTGGACGCTGGCTGCGTGACTGGGCTCGATGTCATTTCTGGGTTCCTGGAAATTTATTTAGCCCACGAAGAGAGATAGCAAGTAGCGCTGGGCATACAGACTGGTCGAGAGTGGGAGCAGTGACATGAAATAAAACGAGGGAAATGTTTCCTTTCCTTCCAACTAAGGTTATCAGCGAACGGGGAAAAGAAAAACTGTTGCTCTCTCTCGTGGATGCTAATGGCACGTGAAAGGCTAATAAATACGAATGCACATGCAATTCCGAGAGAGAAATGCTTTGCACCGCTCCCACGACCGTGACGAGGCAGGTACAAGTGGACAAAGTTGTTGATGATGATGCAAAAAGTGGATTTTCACGGAGAAAGTGGATATGTAAATATTTTTGGGTTTTAATTATTGGCCACTTACCACACTCTCCGGAATGTTTGATGCGGACCGAGTGTCTGTGCTGACATGCAAATTGGCGGAGGAGACACTCGTTGGAGTAGGTGACGTCGTCCGAGCCGCAGACGGGGGAGTAGGCGTTGGAACAGGTTTGCGGACAGCGACAAGTGGGCCGACCACCTTCGACGACGCAACTTTCTCCAAAGGCACAATTCGCTTGCTCGCAAGGTTCATCTGCAAATGAGTGACAGAAGAAAAGTATTAATAACAAGAAGACATGACAAACTCATATTTATTTCAGTGCTCGCTTATAATTTACGTAGGATTGCATAAGTTCTGCTATGAATACATTCAACTTCTGGTGACTGATGATCCACATCAAGAGGAGAAATGCAAGTCCCACGGGGCAATGTGAGACGACAGTGCTGCATCGCATTGCTGTCTTCATGTCACCCGAGTTACGGGACACATTTCTTATGTCTCTCGCTGAAGGTTGTTTCGTCACTCTGAGCACCAGACCGTGTCAAGAAAAGAAGGCTGGGAACTTAAGGCAGGGCGAAGAAGGAATAATGCTGGCGGAGAATGTGAGAAAGGTTCATTAAGGTGCAAAGTGCCCTTTGATTCCAAATTTGAATTTGGTCGAGGCTCCAGGATGCAAATGATGTGTCTTTCATCTCGCCATCTTTTATGCCCTCCTGACTCCAGGTGACACACTCCTCGTAGGCAAAGAGAAAACATACGCACTCTTCTTCTGCGTCTTTGCCGCTGCTGCTCGTGCAGAATCGAAATGCAAAAAGGGCGGAATGGAGGTCAATTTGGGGCAAAGGTAGCCCATTCCAGTCTCTGGCCTACAAACTTAATGAATTCTGAGATACGTACATAGTGACACACGAGGCAAATTACAGAGTACGGGACGAACCATATGCATGAAAGTGTAAGTACACTACGATGGTCTTGAGACTCATTAGAATTAGTGAAGCAATAATGAATCGATTGTGCCAGAAAGTGAAAGAAATGCCGACGCGGAACAAGTACAAGTACACGAGGGAACAACAATACGTTTCGAATCTGGAGCGAGTGTGTCGAATTATGTCGAGACTGCACTACGTACAAAATATGCCCATGGCTGGACTTGGGACACATGATTTATTGGGAGCCCTGAGCCGTAAATGTAAATTGGTGTTGTGAGTGGAGGGAGTGTCGCCAGCGTGTCGAAGTGTCAGCTCTCATTATGTGGATCTAATGGGACTAATGGGAAATGGGCTGTCATGTCACCTACAATTCCGCCTTCTTCGAATTAAGTGCTGACACTTTCTCCAATTCTTAGCCCATTCACAATTCATTCATTTTAATGCCCTCTCCGCCGTCTTCTTCAGCGTCTTCAAAAACCAAAGGAAAATTGCTCTGCAAATTTGAATGTTCAAAGTCTCAAGCATTCTTCAACCCGTCTTTTTCTCATTTTTCTTCCATCGGGCTCTCTCTCTCCGACTAAATAGTTGTGAAACTGTCAACGGGACATGGCACACGGACGACGACGACGACGAAATAATACATACGCAATGGACACAAGGACGCTTGCACTCCTGATTATCGAGACGCGCAGGTGGAGAAAATAACTCTGTGACAGATTAGTAGTTTTCAGCCAACTGAGTCGGACCGAACGCGGATTATTCATGTGCTCCACTTGCATAACAACACATATAAGTAAATGGTTCCCTCCATGTCCTGTGGTTTCGAGTGGAATTAACTTGTCAGTTTAATGATGCTCCGCTCAAAATCCGGTGATACAAATGCATAACCAGCCAAGCCGACAACCTGTTATTTCCAAATCAAGTGTGCACAAAACTGACAGTAAATGTATTATGTAGTTCTTTAATCCGATAAACCTGCGCATTTCACATGCGGAGTGCACAGTTTGACACGTGTCCACAAATTAACGCGATTATTGTCCTCAAGAAAGAAAGAATAATAACCAACTGTTGTTTCGCAAGAAAAAAAAACTTTACTGGCATGGCGCAATGCGAGGTGGATATGCGACACGTGGCGTGGTAGGTAGGTCGTCATACCAGACATTGCGTATAAAAGTTTGCCAATATCGTGTCACCTTTTGACTTGACTGCAATATTTTCGCCCCTTTGAGCCCAACAAGTCTCATTAATTAGCTCCGTCGCTCGTCTGTCCGCCCGATGATGATGACGACGATGGGAAGTTGTGAGTACAAAGTTTCAAAGTTTATGAATTCCTGAAATTATGGGATTGTGAACTGGGCTTTATCGTCGTCGGTGTCGCACCATGTCACTTATTAGAAAGTCGTTAGTGGGGAGAGTAAGTCGGGGAGTAAATTGAGATACAGAGCTCCCGAAGCAGGCCATATAAATCAGAAAGTGAGTGACATTAATTAATTACTCCGAAAGAGATATGGATGGTTCGGGCCAAGAAGAAATCACTCCGTCTACACATATCGCACAATAGTTTGATTAATAATAAGGCCACAGCTATACCAGCGCCTCGGAAAGTTGGCTTGTGAGGGGGAGAAAGTTGGAGGGTATACCTTCGCCCTCCTCCCGCACTCTGCAAGTCGAGGATGTTAATGAGTTCCCTGCTTTTATAACATGTTTGCAACATAATCATCTCAAATTGCGCTTCGAAATATGATTTTTATAACGAGTCGAAATGTAATGGTCTGGTGATCGAGCATGGTCGGTGGGTGAGGGGCATGGGGAGAATGGCAGTCCAACTACACACGAGCATAGCAGCGATCTCATTAACGATTAAACTTTCTTGGGCAATCTTGAGCTGACAGTGGAGCGATAGTTGAGGAAAGTTGGCAAATAAATATTCCCCATTTCTCTGTCGGCAGGGGATACGATTTCGAAATGCGAGGTGTCAGGCAGAATGGCGGCGATGGTGGTTTCGTGGCGGATGCAAAGTTCACAGATTGGGAATTGTACCAACAGTTTGCTTGTTTTCGAAATTTATTGTTCTACTTTAAAACCCGATAAACTTTGTTGTTGTTTACTTTGAGGGAAAACGCGATAGGAAATTAGCTGGTTAACTTGACTATTATTCTCACAATTGGGGAAACACAAATGCTGACAATCCATTAAAAGAGAAAGCCTGTTCTCTCAATATTGTGAATATTTTACGCAGTTTCATTCAAAGAAATTGAACCCAGAACTGCTGGACATTTGGAACTCGTGGTCAATAAATCAATTTAAATCCATCATCGACGCCGCCCTTCGTGAAAATGTCCAAATCTAAATTTCATAGTTGAAAACTATTTACTTTTTGCACGAACGAAACACAACGTGTGGCGGTGAAAGTATTCGGAAAAAACTTTACCACACGTACGTATGTTGAATGAAACAATATGAAAAATGTAAATGGACGCCTTTTTTGGTAGAAAATACTTCCCAAAGTTATTCAGTTGGACGGTTTGCTGGGTTTTTTGATTGGATTAAAAATATTCAGCCTTGCAACGGCAACGAAGTTGTGCATTCGTATATATTTTATGTATGCAATAATGCAGAAAAACATTTATTAAAGAGTTGATCATCCGCTCAGAAGGGTAATAATCGCACCACTCAAAATGCACCCATTAGAATAAAGAGAATTCATAAATTCTCAAGTGTGCATACGTAGAACAAGTTTTTATACAAAAAGTAATCTGCTTCTCACTCTTGGTTGCATTATTTTTAGTTTCGTACAGCAATTCTGGTTAGAAAATACGTGTGTGTGTGCTTTGGCCGGGTGAAAATATGTATTTCCTTCCACGCACAATGAAGAGAAGGGCTTCCGTGAGACGTAATATTTCGAGAGACCATTTATCACCCGTGTTCATTACACCGCTTCCATGCAGCAGTGAAAACAATGCTCCCATTTTTGGAGAGGACAGTGCAGGCAGGCAGGCAGCAGTGGAAGGAAGGAAGGAAATTGAAACTGTCGCCAAGCGTGGGGCCAAAGCCGTTCTTACAATTCGTTGAATGTCTCACAATTCGCATTTCTGAGTAGAAATCTTATTAATCTCTGAGCTTCCTTATTGCACAGCCACCTTTTGTCTTAAATCATACCTTCCGAGTAATATATGCACATCGTAATAGCTCACGCCATCCGTAGGAAAAAAGGCTGTTGCTAATGTCTAGCTCTCTCAAGGGAAAAATCAGCTACTTGGCTGCTGATGCTGGTGTTTGGGTGCCCTGCACGACCCAGAGAGAAAGTGGCATGGGTGGCAAATTAGGAAATGAACTAGGAGGCGATACCTCACCAGCGAAGAGAGAACGTGGCGAAGAAAGCAGGATGATGCTCTCTCTCTCCAAGTCATTTAGGTTGGTGTAGCCGTACACACGTAGCCGTGGAGGGCTCATTGCTCGCACCTAATAAAAAGGGCACTTAAGAGCCATTTCGGTTCATAAATCATTCAGCATTTACATACTCGAACCAATTTCTAGGATTTATTGATTCCACCTGGAGAAAAACAAGCTGGCTTCGCCGCCACTCCTCTTATCCGCCGCCTCATCAACATTCCTCTCCTGCTCTGACAGAAATTAATCCAATCCATTGAACCCCATGCGATCGCCTCTCTCGAATTATTGTACTCAGGCAAGGCATGTGGGTGCGGAGGAAGGGAAAAAAGGACGCCGAAACAAAGCCTTCTTTTCGCTGGAAGGAACGTCCCACAACAACAAACACACAAATGTGCATTTGCGTACGTACCTTACACACTTCAGCTTCGTCTTACTACGACGACGGGCCATGGGCTAAAAACAGACGGTAATTCTATACACCGTATGATCGTATCAAGTTCTTAAATGGGAAGAGGCCAGAAGGTAAGTAAATATTGGCAGAGCTTGAGCAACCACTTGGTCATGGTGAACCTGAGAACGAAGTGGGTGGCGATAGGAATATTCACGACGCGATATAAATAAGGTGTCCATTTCCCAGAGGAAACTGCGAGGACGTGGACATCAGGCGTGGACGTGAGATATTGGACGAGAAAGATACCACTCAATTTTTCACGAGCTATCTTTCAACCCAATAATTCAAGGAGGGAATGAATGGATGTACAGATAGACAGCGCTGGTACGTATGGCTCGAGGGGTGAAGAGGCCCTCTCACTGAACATTCCTACGAACTGCTCGCCTGCCTGCCTACTTCCGCCAACTACGTATTGATTGATTCAATAACGGGGTGTTGGTGAAGTGGATTGGTGACACAATAAAATGGTTGAGCAGAAA